TCACTGGTGTATACTTTAAATGATATACACTATAATACAGTAAATATCATCACTGGTGTACATCTTAAATGATATAATATAAATATCACCACTGGTGTATATCTTAAATGTATATCTTAAATGATATACAATAAATATCATCACTGGTGTACATCTTAAATGATATACACTATAAAACAGTAAATATCACCACTGGTGTATATCTTAAATGAATATCTTAAATGATATACAATAAATATCATCACTGGTGTATATCTTAAATGATATACTGTTAATATCATCACTGGTGTATATCTTAAATGATAAACTATAGATATCATCACTGGTGTATATCTTAACAATGCTTAAATGATATACTATATATATATCATCACTGGTGTATATCTTAAATGATACACTGTTGATACCACCACTGGTGTATATTTTAAATGATGTACTGTTAATATCATCACTGGTGTATGTTTAAAATGGTATACAATATAATAAAGTAAATATTATCACAGGTGTATATCTTACATGATATACTATAAATATCATCACTGGTGTATATCTTAAATGATATACTGTAAATATCATCACTGGTGTATATTTTGCTTGATATACTGTTGATACCATCACCATGATCACTGATGTATATTTTTAAAATAATATACAGTTGATACCATCACTGGTGTATGTTTTAAATGATATACAGTAAATATCATCACTGGTGTATATCATAAATGATATACTGTTGATACCATCACTGGTTTATATTGTACTGTCAACCACAAACCTGTATATCGACTATAATGCACAAACCCCACTTCATGTGACACGGGTCAGCAGACACACATATTCTATAAATAGCAAAGATGACTGACTGGAATGAACAAACACTGTGCACAAGGTGTGGGGTAGTGACCCGGGTGAAGGTGTGCGAGTCAGTGCAGCCTCGCAGTGGAGCATGACTACCTCGCTTCCCCCACCTATCCAGGAGTTATCACCTGTCAATATCACACGGTTAGCCTGGGACACACAATAAACAGAGACATTCACTGTATCATGTTTAAAGTTGACGGGCAAAGAGAGGTGAAATGGGGTCCAATGTCACGCTCAAGATGATTGCACTTAGAGCTAGGGATTTATCAACCTGTTCAGAGGCCGATATTCGGCTTCAAGTCTGCAGCTAATTCAGTAAAAATACCCAAATTGGAATCAAACATTTCCTCATTCATGCTGACCTATATTCATAACTAAATAAAAGTGACAAAACACTTTCCATAATCATATGAAATATCAAGCATATGCTTATTACTCACTATCAAATTTGCAACATATATAATGAGTTTACAACAAACATTATGGCTATGTGTATTTGGCTCATATTTCACTATTGGCAGGGCCGTTATACAGGAAGAGGCTTAAATGCATAGCTGAACGTTACTGCATTGAATGTAAACATTCAATGTTGAAATACCTTTGGATTTAGGAAAATAAGAACATAAAAAAATCCCAATTTTGAACCAAAAATAATTTTTCATAATTTCCCTGCAAAGGGCACTTAGTTAAGCATGTTAAGAATCCTAGATGAATATCCGATAGCACTATAAAACCTGCATTAGTTGAGACTAGTACAAGCGCCCCTCCCCATCCCACACACGTCACTAGTTCGGGCTATATGTAGGTTTTATACAAGGACCTCACTCTCCCTGATAAAACTGCAGTCAGAAACGTACCACCCGCAACACTGTACAAGTATACACAACTAATCCTTCTGCTTAAATGAAATGGGCCAGTGCCACGGCTATATACATGCCCTAGATAACACACATCAATCGCTACACCCCACCTACCAGGCTATATACCCCAATAATCCATATCCATTCCATAACGGCCACAGTTACACAACTGGAAGCGTTCAAGCTTTGCACATTCTGTCATTAGGGATTTGTCTGTGTTCAATGATGCTTTAACTATGGGGTGGTGGTAGCCGCCATGTGTACACCTTGTCCATGACTATGGGGTGAGGGTAGCCGCCATGTGTGCACCTTGTCCATGACTATGGGGTGGGGGTAGCCACCATGTGTGCACCTTGTCCATGACTATGGGGTGGGGGTAGCCGCCATGTGTACACCTTGTCCATGACTATGGGTTGAGGGTAGCCGCCATGTGTACACCTTGTCCATGACTATGGGGTGGTGGTAGCCGCCATGTGTACACCTTATCCATGACTATGGGGTGGTGGTAGCCGCCATGTGTACACCTTATCCATGACTATTAGGTGGTGGTAGCCGCCATGTGTACACCTTGTCCATGACTATGGGGTGAGGGTAGCCGCCATGTGTGCACCTTGTCTATAACAATAGGGTGGGGGTAGCCACCATGTGTACACATTGTCTATAACTATAGGGTGGTGGTAGCTGCCATGTGTACACCTTATCCATGACTATGGGGTGGTGGTAGCCGCCATGTGTACACCTTATCCATGACTATGGGGTGGTGGTAGCCGCCATGTGTACACCTTATCCATGACTATTAGGTGGTGGTAGCCGCCATGTGTACACCTTATCCATGACTATTAGGTGGTGGTAGCCGCCATGTGTGCACCTTATCCATGACTATTGGGTGATGGTAGCCGCCATGTGTGCACCTTGTTTATGACTATGGGGTGGTGGTAGCCGCCATGTGTACACCTTATCTATGACTATGGGGTGGGGGTAGCCACCATGTGTACACCTTGTCCATAACTATGGGGTGAGGGTAGCCGCCATGTGTACACCTTATCTATGACTATGGGGTGGGGGTAGCCACCATGTGTACACCTTGTCTATAACTATAGGGTGGGGGTAGCCACCATGTGTACACCTTGTCTATGACTATGGGGTGAGGGTAGCCACCATGTGTGCACCTTGTCTATGACTATGGGGTGGGGGTAGCCACCATTCGTACACCTTGTCCATGACTATGGGGTGGGGGTAGCCACCATGTGTACACCTTGTCCATAACTATTGGGTGAGGGTAGCCGCCATGTGTACACCTTGTCCATAACTATGGGGTGAGGGTAGCCGCCATGTGTACACCTTGTCTATGACTATGGGGTTGGGGTAGCCGCCATGTGTACACCTTGTCTATGACTATGGGGTGGGGGTAGCCGCCATGTGTACACCAGGTCTATGACTATGGGGTGGTGGTAGCTGCCATGTATACTACACATTGTCCATGACTATGGGGTTGGGGTAGCCCCCATGTGTACACCTTCTTGAATATAACTATGAGAGGGACCGGTGTCATGTGCACAGTTATTTCACAACCAGCTTGTCAGTACCATACATTTTATACACTGAGAAACATAAGTGAGTGAGTGAGTGAGTGAGTATGGTTTTACACCGCTTTTAGCAATATTCCAGCAATATCAATGCGGGGGACACCAGAAATGGGCTTCACACATTGTATCCATGTCGGAAATCGAACCCAGGTCTTCGGCGTGACGAGCGAACACTTTAACCACTAGGCTACCCGACCGCCCCCTGAGAAACATAATACTAAACTGGAGCAATGATGTGTGGGAAGTAGCCTTATTCCAAGGCTGTAATGAATGATAAGTCCATGAATGTATGTATAATTCTATCCTATTAACAGGCAAGTCTAGATTAGCAGTCTTTTATAGGGGGGACAACTTGTTCCTATTGTTTATACAATCTTGAAATTAGGATTTAAACCAATAATTACTGCCTTGGAGACTTGTGCAAGTCTATGTTTGAAGATTCAAGGCACGTACTTTGAATCAGACTGTGATTAAGTATCCATAGAACACATACACACTTCACATTTAAGGTAGCTCAGCTGTAGGGGTTAACGGCCAGGAGAGCTGTAAAGGGAAAGTGCTTTGTTTCAGGTGAGAGAGGACTGGGGTATTGGGAGGAGGCATAGGGAGGGGGGCGACAATAGTCTTACATTTCAGGTCCTCGTATTGACCCGATATTTTAGCAGGGACAGTGAGGTCCTCGTAATGACCCGATAGTTTAGCAGGGACTGTGAGGTCCTCGCAATGACCCGATATTTTAGCAGGGACAGTGAGGTCCTCGCAATGACCCGATATCTTAGCACGGACTGTTGGGTCCTAATTGTTATGAACATACATCAGACAAAGGACAGTGAGGTCCTCGTAATGACCCAATATTTTAGCAGGGACAGTGAGGTCCTCGCAATGACCCGATATTTTAGCAGGGACAGTGAGGTCCTCGCAATGACCCGATATTTTAGCACGGACAGTGATGTCTGTGAAATGGTCCTCCAATGGTAGAGGGAGAGAGCTGCCTCTTGGTCTGTTTACTTCACCACCTGGCAATGATGTGTCATTAGCCTACATAACAGACGTGCCAGCCGCATCACAACGCCTCGCCTAGTGAATCAGCTTGGAACAATTAGATACAAACAATTGTTTAGGACGTGTGTTGTTGGGTGTGTGTGTGTGTGTGTGTGGGGGGGGGGGGGGGAGATGCATGACAGAGCCAGGTCAGATCAGGTATATGTAGTTTTATCTCAAGTTACACTATAACAGCCACAGCTTCAATACAAACACACACTTGTTGCCACCTGACCCTCAAACCACCTGCAGGCCTTCACATTATACAGGGAATGGGTTGGGCGTAGGGTTGGGCGTTTGTTTGCATTCATCAAACACCAGCCTTCTGTTTTGGATTAAATTTAAATGAGGTCTTGAAGCTTGCTGCCCACTCTCAGCAAATAGTTTCACTGTTACATTTGTAATTAATACATCTGTCCATTCCACCACGTGGAGGTGCCTTATATAGAACATGTATCCGGCACAGACGTTCCACAGACATCATCAGCATTTATACACAGTTAATGCCCTGTAACATGACCAAAGATGCAGACACAAGCGCATATTGATGAAAAACACACACCATTTATGCTAGATCTTTTTAGACTATAACACTAACAGTGAAATGTATCATATCAAACATTATTCAAAATAAAAACAGTGCATTCCTTACCGTCAGAGCTGTGTCATGGATGGGCTTCTCGAACAGTCCCTCCATCTGGTCCACCTGCATATCCCAACACTTGCTGGCCAGGCCAATCATTACACCGTAACAAAGAACTTTATAAAATATCAGCTTTTTACTGGGTACGCTTGTATGTCCATTAGTGGAACCATTGGTGCCATTCTTCGTCCACAGCGGTACATCCACAACCTTCTTGTCAAAGTATTTGAACAGGTAGAAAAGCACACCGAAGGATAACGCAAATCCGCCGACAGTGTCACATACCACATCAATGTAGTAGCCCGAACTGTTTCTGTGGGAATGATAGGTGCTTTCTTTGGCACGGCTTCGGAAGACAACGCCGTCAAGACCATCTAACCATGTTCTGAACTCAAACAACAACAGCCCGAACCTACGGTCCCTTATACACTCTGACGCTACGAACTTGCCTGCAATGAGGGCAATGACCACATGGGAAAAACTAATCATATTTGCTGTAATAAAGAAAAAGACAGTACTAAATCCAGTGACTTGATCAAATATTTCTGAAGTAGGTTTAATGACATAGTGACTTGTTGGATCAGTCATGATCAACTTCACAGTGAGGGGGTAGAAGGGGGAGTAAGCGTGGCTTGGGAGGGTCTGGGGGACTGACAGCACCGTGTCTTGTAGGACAGCATATAATACTATATCCATGATGATGTAAAACACTGTTATCACCGTCCCCAGACATATCAACACATTTTTCTCCTCGCGGAAGATCTGAAATGAACAAAAAGGCACCATCGTTTCTGTCACAACCACCGGAAGGAACCTGAAGACCGGAAGCACTTTGGAAGTTTAAAAGCTTGTAACCTTGTATTCAGCCATGTTGGTACTACTCCACCAGCATCAGCAGCGCTTCGCATCACACGGAGTCAGACTGACCTGAATCTATATAACCGGAGCCTGGGGCACCTGCTTACTACATTCCCGCTCAGTGAATCTCACACACACTACACCATGGCCTTAGATTTACATCCACACTCCCGCACTGATCCACGGACACCCGCACCAGTGAGAGATTAGCGAGAGATGAGCCTTGTGTTGTTGGCAGATCGGGGGATTCCTCCTATTTAAATTCCGAAGTGTTTATTTTTAGCTTCTCTAAAATACGAAGCGTGTGACCTCCCTGGATGCCTGGCTGTTGTCACTGTGAGCGAACAGTGGCAGCTCGCACGAGGAAATGTTGCCGACTGTGTGTAGTCAATGGACGAAGATTCAACTCTTTGAATACCCTTGTGTTGTTCTCATCGACAAGGACGTCTGCGCTGTTGCATTAGTCAATACAAGCGGGAAAGAGGGATTGGTAACTAAGAATGAATATCCGGTCTGGTGTCAATGTCCTCTCATAAGGAAGATTATTTGTAAAGATCGTAGATATCACGCAAGTGGACCACCTTTCGTGATAATGTCAGTCAGTGACACCACTGTAGACACCCCTATCTGTACCTTATGTTTAGAGGGTACTCACTGTCGAGACGAAGTTTCCGTTCAAACGTGACACACACAAAATAAAACACTCCAGAAGACTATACAGTATCTTGTCCGTGCGCCCAGCAGTAACGCGTGTACTACTGAGAGATTGAGCGTAGACCGCCTCTACGAGCTTTAACCGCAGTTGCCCACTGATCATCTAAACTGAACGCGTGGTGATAGGTCCGGTATTGCGGTTGGCGCGGGCCTTACAACACCGATACAACAGGTCCCGTGACTCTTGTGGCTGGGGGCGTTTCAGGTCGCCCGGTATCAGTTAAATATAGTCAGGCAGAGCGGTTGTTTTTGAAGTATGAAATGTGGCTACTTACAATATGGGGGCTCCGTTCGCACGCAAACATAATTTAAAGTAAAGATTTACATATGAAAAATATGTGGAGCCAAAAAAGCCGTAAGGCCGCATGTGTCGGCGACAAGAAGAAGAGGTGGAAGGAAAGTTACAGCATCTGCATCTACTGTTTCTATATAGAGACAAGACGAATACGTAACAATACTGTTTATATGCACGACAAAACAAAGGGGAGTTCACGTCTATTTACGAGATACGCAAGTATGTTTTTACATTTACGTTCAATGGACATTCTTACAGAACAAAGCATATGCCTCGTGGAAAAAAAACGAGCTATTGGTAAAGAGATGTGATTTTAGTTTGCAATTTATATTTTGAATACATTCCATGCTTGACATAGACAGTATACAACACGTGACACCCATCCTAGTGACCCCGGAGAGGTTGCATCCGGTCACGGCGTTGTAATGTCCGACCGGATAAATGTCAATGGTTCTTCTTCCGTATCAGATTAGTCGAGAATTATTGGCCATCATGACACCAGCTCACTCCAACATTGAACGTCGTCGTGGTATAACACGGTGAGGAAGGAGCCCCTGCCGTCACATCGCTGTCGTTAGAACCTTTTTACAATACACCCTTTCTCGTTTGTCATGTCACCAATAGAGATATCCAAGATTCCACCACGTTTTAAATGTACCTGTGTTTTATTACGTCAAAAACACGGTCAAATCTTTGACAAATACACTGTAAATGTTTACATCAAGGTACATATCTGTATGTTGTATCTGCTACCCCCCGCGTCAACCCGTGAAGACCCGGGGTAGAACATGTCTTCAGCAACCCATGCTTGCCGTAAAAGACGACTAAGCTTGTCGTAAGCGGCGACTAACGGGATCGGGTGGTCAGGCTCGCTGACTTGGTTGATGCATGTCATTGTATGCCAATCACTGGATTGTCTGGTCCAGACTCGATTATTTACAGACCGCTGTCATATAGCTCGAATATTGCTGAGTGCGACCTTAAACAAACAAACAAAACACCTGGTGTCACGTGTCGGAGTTTCCCCATGTCAGTTTTGTGTCCTTATTTGTATTGTCGTAACAACAGATCTCTAGTGACAGAAACCGAAGTGAATGCCTACCAGAGAGACAAGGCCTGAAACCAACAGTACCCGTTGCTGGGCTCTTTCAGACATTGTAGACACACCTGTCTAAGGCACATGCCACACGTGACGGATACGTGTTTCTTGTGTACTGTATAAATTACTACACATTGCACAACACATGCATTCGCTGTGCAGTGACATCGATGGCCCCTGGTTCTCTGTGCAGACAGAGGGGGACCAATGTGAGGTGTGGTGAAATGGGGTTTAACGTGGCGTTCAAGGTCATTGCACTGACATATCGATGTGTACGTGAGCGTGTCTGGTGGTACTAGCCGACTTATGCAGTATTTATAGTGCTAGCCAACTGAGATATCATGCCGCAGTTTCCGTTCATGAATCAGCCATCAGGGGAAACAATGAATATAATAAATAACTAAACTAAAATGTTTAAGAAAAAAATAAAAACTTTAAAAACTAAAAAAACACACACACACTGAAGAAAGCATCTCAGTCTGAAATCTTACTTGAAGCTAAACCTTTCCTTATAATTGCTATCTAAACTACACCTACTAATTACCAAACCAGAACTAACACTGGTGAGTATCGTTTTACGCCGCTTTTAGCAATATTCCAACAATATCACTGCAGGGGACACCAGAAATGTGCTTCACACATTGTACCCATGTCGGGAATCGAACCCGTGTCTTCGGCGTGACGAGCGAATGCTTTGACCACTAGGCTACCCGATCGCCGCAGAGCGAACATGAAAGTGGCTTTTGGGGGACCTGCAATGCTAAATGCTACGGGGCTAGCTTCTGAAACCCAACTGGCACAACATATTTCATTGGGTTTATAACACGTGACTTATGCTGGAGGTCATCGGAGATCTATACAATTATGGGAAACTTGCAAACTAACGGATACATAGTGACAGTCGGTGAACCATGTACTCGGAAGCGACATGGGGATGTGTCAGAACACTAGAGGTTTTATTCACACTCGAGATAGATTGGGAACGCCAAATAGAGGAAGGGGAACGGTGGGGGGACCAAATCCACCAGCAGATAGGAAGACGTCACCCCTATGTAGACTAACATCTAGTCTCTGAAATGAACATATCTTACAGAAAAAAAACGGTTCTTAAATTATCTCCATAAAAATATAATAAAAAGGAGCCCTGAGATTCTTCATTTTCAGATACTGCAGTAATCTAGACTTGCCAAACATTATAGACTTGCATGGGCTGTATTGGATATATTTGTTTCAGGGCCTGTATGATCTACCCCCTTTGTCGTCACAGATTGCCTGTCGCTTGTGGGTACTGTTTAAGTGTCTAAGTGTTTATACATGTAGCGATGTGGTGTGAGAGACGAACACCTCGGTGACTGTTTTGTCGGTAATCCAGACCTGGCGATCACTCCAGGCAAGGCTTGAGTTGTGTAACACATGGCGTATGGCTCTTTATCTCCAATTGTCCGACACGAGAGATTACACCATAACCCGGCTTGTGGAGATTGTAGTCATGGGTGTTTTGTCATAACACCTTCGGGTACAACTGCAGAGGATCAACTCGCTGCCACACATGTACAGAAGTAGTCTGTAGTAGTAAATTGTTTATTTAAGCACTTGAACAAGTAAACAATACATGATATATCCATATAAAAAACAGAGCCCCGAGCCACAAATTGGCCTATGACACTCAAAAAGAATACTTGGTTGTATAAAATAAAGACTACATTTGCCGTTTTCTAAACATTTCAAAAGTGTTGAGGTCAAAATGCTTTGTATTTTACTTTCTTTCATTATATATACAAGTTTATCTTCATCATTAAAGTTATATAACCAAGGATTATTTTCGTATGCTGCATTAAAAAGATTGAAACGCAAATTATCATTAAAAACTACATTGAATTATAAAAATGAAACTCATTTCCAATTATATTAACACGTACATCATTTGGTAAAAATACAATATTTACAAATTCTCTGCACAAGAGGCTTGGCATATTTGCCGGTTTCAATATACAAGGGTAAAATACCACATCTAAATTTGGATAAAACACGACGGTGGTCTCTGTACATTACACGTTGGACATGATGTTCAGTAGCTGGAGTTGCTTTATAAGTTCTACACGTGCGAGCTTATTGCCATTTAGTTTACCTGTATCCTTCCATAACGAAATATGCCAATTCTCAACATCACAGTTGCTCCGTCGTCGTGCAGACAGCGTGTCGGTGTGCTACTTGACTGAGCTCCTTCTATTAAGATTGGGAAATGGACAAAAACGAACAGCTATTTTATCACGTTATATGCGACATATTAAGGATTGGGTAGAGTGAGAAATTGTGAAATAAGAGAATATTACAAACTAACGGACCATGTTCCAAAATCTTAAACCTGCCAAGGTCAAATCGATAACGCACATGGGTCATAATCCAGGACTAGTATCTCTCATGGTGCTGGTCAGATAGAGTTATGCAAATAGATTTAAGGCTTTAATATCTACAGCTGTTTATCATCCACCCTTATCAAATCAACCCTACCACGGATACATTCGTGACATACTAGCAACTCGTCAGCTATTAGACTGAATGCCATTTGAAGTGATACGCACAAAAGGAAGAGAATTTAAGGATGTCAACTTCTTTATAATGAGGAACACAACGCTTCGGAGGATATACTTACTCCTTCATCAGGCGAAGAAATCCTATGAGGCAGAGAACATATGACTGACGTCCAAAAGAAATTTTACCAGATTTTGAAATCACTCTTGCTCAAAAACAACAAAACATACATGAAGTATGAAGTAAAGTGTATTGAGAAGATCAATATATCAACATAATCAACACTGAAAATGACAATCATACCGCGACCGAGAATGACGTCAGAGCCCCCCAAAGTTGGGTGTGGTACAAAACTCGAGCTTTCAGAATCATGGACAATAGGCAGAGTACATAAACAATCGCTAACGTTCAATAACAAGTCATTAGTAGCGTGTGTGACCACCAAATGCCTCAATACACGCAAAAACTCTTCGACGCACAGAAAAAGTCAGTCGTCTGATGAGGTCACGTGGGATTTGACGCCATTCTTCTTGGAGGGCCAAGATCAGTTCTTGCCGGTTGGCTCGAGAGTGTGGTCGTTGTCGAACACGACGATCCATCAAGTCCCAGAGGTGTTCTATTGGGGACATGTCGGGTGAGCGTGCAGGCCACGGTAGGACGTTGACGTTGTTGGCTGCGAGGAAGTTAGTGACAATTCTGGCTGTATGGGCTCTAGCGTTGACATGCTGATAAATGACACCACGTGGCTGCTGTTGGAGAAATGGTAGGACAACTGGACGAAGAATGTTATCCATGTAACGCTGAGCTGTCAAGTTTCCGTCAACGATGACCAGCGGTGTCCTCTTCTGCCCACAGATCCCTCCCCACACCATGACACTCCCTCCACCATATGGTACGACCTCCTGCACGCAACACGCCGCCGTTCGTTCACCTCTTCGGCGTTGTCTTCCATCAGCCCTAAACATACAAAGGTCGAAACTTAAAAAGGGAGACCGACAGATAATTGGCGCTGATGGTGCTAGGCAATGGACAATGGGCACACGAGATGCAGGTGTAATTAGCACTGATCAGTAATAGCAATGGAAATTTGGTACTATTTTAAAAGTCAGTCAATCTTAGATATTCCCATTGCAATACTGCTTTAAATAGATCATGTCTATTCTGTTACGTTGTTTACCTTTTGGAATATGTATTGTTTGTTTGTTTG